AGAAACGTAGAAAATCTACTGCCGAAAACGGATCACTTTTTACTACCCCATCGCGAGCTCTCTTACTTCTCCTGAAGCAACTGCAGTGTTTGGGCGGTCTAAACATCGATTGCATAGTACTGACTTGGCACCGATTGACTTCTTTTTATTCCCGTACGCAAAAAACTAACTGAGAGGTCAGCGATTTTCGACACCTAAAGAGGCGGCTGATGTATTCAGAACTCATATGTTGGAGTGAAAGTGGCAATAGTGTTTGGACAATTTTTTCAAACGCCTGCAAAAGTATACAGATCTTAGCAAAGAATGCTTTGAACAACAATAAAGTCCTTCTTGATGAATAGCTTCATTTGCTCTCTAATTCCGAAATATTAAAGGCTACCCTCGTATTATTTACACTTTAGGAATAGTTTGTATGGATTGCAAGCATAAAAGTGTTCCTATTTTCGATGAAATTAACAATTAATAAGCTATTAAGGAATTATCACTTCGTAAACTGCGCCATCATACCAATAACAATTTCTTGCTTACGACACGCAACAACGTAAGCGTTTTGGCATGGCAACGTAGGCAGACAAGTGGGTGACGTAGTAAATCGGTGTTGATTTATGACCACAACGCCAATGCTGGTATTTCTAAACAACTTTATGTACACTTTTATTTTATCTACATACAAATTTCTCCACAGCATGTGTGCGAAATTTTTAGGTTTGTATGTATGTGAAGGTGTAATATTATATATAACTGAGTGTAACTTCAAGAACGATGGAGCTCTGAGATTGCGCCTAAAAGGGTGCCATCATTCACTGTTATAAACTTTGACAATCAGCTGTTGCTTTGCTTTCGTCACACTTGCATGGCAAGTTAGCGGTTGATTTTAATTTTTTGCGATATTTCAATTTCAATACGTGTAAGTTAGTGTGAAAATGAAGAGTGCAGTTTTAGGTCGCGAGATTAAATATAAAAAACCGACTGCTGCATGTAATTTATTTACATTTCCGGCCAATCCAAAATTGTGGCGCAGTCCTGTTGCAATGGATAATTACATAATCACTTAAGCTTGGATGCAATTGAAAATTTATATGGTCGGCTGCTGTTTACTTTCAAGGTCATACGCGTACTATCACCATAATGATAGACGTGTTTCGAGGCACCACTGTAAGTAATATGTTTTCAGTATTACTTCGGACCAATTTATACGTGCTTTTTTGAACGATTGCGTGGATCCAAGGTAAAAGAATTTCTCTTATGGTCAAATGTCAATATAATGATAAATGTACGAGTATACTAGTCCCCCTAATAACTATGTAGCCTCAATCTCACGACAGGTCACATGACGATCTTGCAATATCAATTTGCCCACTGCATCAATAGTTTCCGGCAGCATCAAAAGCCTGTTTTTGATAACCTTCACGAAATTCGCCTTGGATTGATCTACGACCTCGATAAACGTCGGTCTTTGATGGAGTTTTTCCGCCACACTGTTGCTGAGATTAAATTCCATTTTTTGTTCGAAATGAATACTTTAAGCTGCTATACACAAGATAAACAGCATTCATTTTGAGTACGTATAACATCAAAAATGTCCAACTTCACCATAAAGTTATTACTTGCCTGATTGCAACAGTAGGGTTGCTAAATATCAAAATGTAAAAACCATCCTCTTACACATTTCATTTACTTGCCTTTCTAATTCACAGGTAGCCAATCACAAACTTCATCAATTGCTCCAAAATTCTCTTGACTCAGTATTTTCATTTAAACTATGAGCAGCGCATACATTTCTCTCTGGAAATGTGTCCAAATTGATACTTCACCGAAACAACTTCGAAATTATGACGTATACACAAATAACAACCAAATCTAAAGGCGCAACCTTGGCGTAGCTACGCTTTGCGGCACATAAAATAATGCCTCATGTGGGGAAATCCGAAAGAATTGTCGTCGCAGCTTGCTGTAGCGATTTGACGCGTCCATGTACGTACATACACATTTGCACTCGTGTGGGTGTGCACTTCCGGCGTTAAATACTAAATTTGTAAGTAACAAGGGAATATTTAAGATTATATTAAGCATTTAATTGTATTTGTAGGTGTATGCGTACAAACTTTTATTTATTTTATTTTCAATAAAATTAAATCAAACATTAAAAGGGAACAGTGTTTTTATTTTCGTTATTTAATATGCATTTTAAGAAAGAAATTTATGATTTTCCTAAAAATACCTGCCGTCACAAGGTCCCAGATCCAGTATATTTTATTAGATTTTAAATACTATTGAGTAATCCTTTCGTATACATTCAACCATTACTAAATTTTTTACTTCAATAAATATCACTAAAGTTGTTTTGACTTTCCACTTGGAAATGGACAAGCAATACTTTCAAAAATTTCCATTAAATGAACTGAGTTAGGTAAGAATTTTTGTTTAGTTGCTGAAACTGGTATTTGAATTTCAATTCAATATTATAATTCAATATGCCGTAATTGAAAATTAAAATTGTTTATTAATAAATAAAAAGTTAAGTACACTAATACATTTTTGGCTTCTCTTGAACTGTTGAGGGAATTGTCACCTTTTGATGGAGCCAAGTTTAAGCCTAACAGACCCGACATTTATGTGTGGTCTGTTGGCTACAAGGTTTGGCTTTAAGATCTCCACATAGCGGCATGGATTGAAGTATCTCGAATTGTCTTGCAAACGTATATAACATATATAATGTAAATGCCGCTTTGTAACCAAAAAAAGAGTTTTTTTTAAATAGTTTCTCCTACAATTTGAGATGTACATCTAAACCTACTGCCGCCTGCGAACGGCTGATGGATATTTTTGAGGAGCTTTTACTTTAAGCCGGATATACACTCGAAAGAGTTGAAATTCCCAGCCGAGAGGCAACCGCAAAAAGAAGGCCAGAACCTTCCCCACTGCCAACTACACTGGTTTATAACAGCTCAGATGACAAATCTGCTATATGGGATCTGTATGCCATTGTTGACCGAACTGAACGGTTCAACCAAATAATCAATACGGTATGAAAATATATCTACGCAGCGAATTTGGTTGAAATATCTTAAAAACTGCTAGCTTGCGTGTGTACAGACAAACTAATGGACACAGGTAAATCAACGCAGTTCGTCATTCTGATCATATCCGTGATGGGTCTACCTCTTCTCCTTTTGGTACTTACATTCTTCGGACCAAAGTTAGTTAGTAAACCATTTTATGTGCGAGAAAGGTATACAAATATTTGGTTTTGGGTCGAAAGTTCATTATAAACGCATCCGAGAGCGTGAAATTTACCGTTAAACGCACGTACGAATATACAAATAAATTTCGCGGAAAATCTATTTTGTTTAGCCTATAAAAATTTGATTTTATAGCGGTAAATATCTGGGAGAATTGATTATTATCGCTTCTTTCGCTTAAACCTGTTTTAGGGAAATACGTTTAGACCAAATTCAAAGTCCAAGGTCGCTATGCTTGAGAATATTCGTATCATTAATTATTTTTTTTTTATAATTTTGAGCCAATTAAAAGTTTTTGTCTGAAATTCTCTCATTTCTTAAACCCCATTCTTTATTTAAAAGTCTAGACGCTAAAAATAAAAGTTTTAACGTGCAGAATTTTGAGTGAACAGATTTATGAAAATCAGATTCAAAAGTTTAAGCTAAGTACTGCATAGCGGCCGCGGTAGCCGAGTGGTTAGCATTGCGCATTGCCATTCAGAAGGCTTGGGTTCAAATCCTGGTCTGCTACTATCATCCAAAAAGTCATGGAAAATTAATTTAAAAAATAGGAGCTTAGTATAAATTGTAGGTCCCTCCATTTCGGCCGAAATATCGCTTCATCGGTTACAAAGCGCCAATAATATTGCCGGAGAATAGGTATCAGAATGCTTGCAAACCTTTTCTGTAAAAATATTACTACCGATTCTCTCAGTAAGACTGAAATATAAGTGAATTACATATACTAACATCGTCGTATATGTATATTTTCGTGAAGAAATCTCGAAGGCTTTCGTTTAGTAAAATCAAATAAAAACAGTGTGCATAAAAATTAAAAATCGGTAAATGTATATTTTTATTTAGCTATATTTTAATATTTAGTGTTTATTTAATGGTAAAATGTTAGTTTCGCGCTTACAATAAATTTCTTTCAAAATATACATATCTGTATATTTTTACAATTTCAAGTAAATATGTTAATAAAAAATATTGCGTCTTCACAGATGCTCATTAACAAACTTCAACTAATAACTCTTAGCTAGTTAAGCCTCCACTGGTCAGCCTACATTTGTGCATTGTTTTTGTGAATACCACCCGCAAGCGTGTGCAGAGCGTGTGCTACGCCGCAGCGAGCATTCGTAACGACTTTACCGACAGCGAAATCCGTAGGTGATACGATAAGTTCCACGCAGAAAGCAGAACTTCGCGCACTAGTACACTAGATTCACTGGTTGGTCATAAGCGATAGCCGAAATAACACATACCAGCAAACACATACACATATACGCATACACCCAAACACTTCATAAGTAAAAGTTTTTTGTTTTGGCTTTTGGTTCGCCATGCCATACTTCGTTCGGCATCGTTCGTGTGTTATCTTCGTTACGTATACGCACTGCATGCCAGCAGTTTGCAATGCAGTTAGCGTCGCTGCTGGCAGCACTGTTAGTGTCACACATCATCAACCTGTTGCTTGCGCTGTTATTTTTACATGTAAGTTAACAGTTAGCATGGCGTGCGCTCACCTTCAATTTGCTTAACTTGCGAACTTTTTCTGTCTTCTTGTTTTTTTCCAGGAATTTATCCATCCATCTGTCTGTGTGTGCTGCTGATTGTGCTGCGTTGTTTCTGCTGCAACTGTCGGCGCTGTTACTCTTGTTGTTGTTGTTGTTGTTGTTGTTGCTTTTGCCACTTTTAATATGCGCCTTTTAGCCTTTGATGGCTGCGTGTTCGATTCTTCTACATTGGAGCTTTTCCTATAAAAGCCGTAGCTGCTTCCAATTTCAACACACAACATTTGCAAAAGCGAATTTCAAAAGTATAACGGTCTATTTAGTAGCGAAAGTTAAGAGTGTGAAAAAGTTTAAGCGAAAAATTAGAGTGGATTTTCATATATAATTTTATAAGGAGATATAAAGAATCAAGTGCAATTTTTTTTTGTGTTAAAATAGAAATATGTTTAACTGAAAGTGGTTTTTGAGATTCATCAAATTCGTTAATAATTAAAAATTCTAGAAAAATGTGGCGCTCATTCGTTTTAGCAACAATTTTTATTTGTTTAATATTTTCAACGAGTGTTAAAGGTAAATAAAATAACAACTAATCAAACATTTTTTAAGCTACTAAAAGTTTCCGAAAAAAAATTTATTGGTTTTCAGTAAAAAGGCTTTCGAGTAAGAATTTCATTTAAATATTTTTGTTCATGTATTAATTTACACAATACAATTTTAATTCATTGACTATATATTTTTATTATTGACTAAATGTTATTATTAATAATAAGTCCCAGAATTTATACTCACTGTTTGAAGAAAAAAAATTTCAAAATAAATATTTAACATTTTTGGTAGTGCGAGTGGTTCTTTGTTGCATTTCTCAAACATTTTGGTAAACACCTTTTTTTTAATTCTCATTGGTATTCATTTATTGAATCTGCCCCGAAATCGCAAGTTTCACAATAGGTAACACAATTTCAAAACTAAACAAAAACTTAAGGCCCATTAGCAACAATGTGCTGCTGGCTTAACGTTGCTCTTTATAAATAAATGAAAATTGGCTTTGTAAGTTGGTGAGTTCGAGGCCATTTTAAATCAATGATTTTATTAAAAATTTTAAAGAAAATATTAAGCAATATTAAAAATATACGAAAATAACAGTTTTTGTAAGTAAATTAAAAGTAGTCTTTTTAATGTGTGTGGGTTAAGTCCAGTTGGCTAATTTCAGTCAAACTTAGCTGAGTGAATGTAGACACGCCTTGGTCAGAGGGACACAGATTTCAAATTACTTATCTGTTAAGAATAACTTTTGCTTGGAGATTGCGTTTTCATCTGCCCCCAGGGAGATGAGATTATATTCATAACAAAAATAAAACAAAAACGTTGACGGGATCAAGAAGAAAATTCAGAATACCTCAAGTACTCTCCGAGCGTGCAAAAAACGAGCTAAGGATCAATTGGTCAATCGTTGTATTAGTGATAGTTTCTTTCCGAATTTCTATTAAGGATCTGAGAATTGAAATAAGAATAAAAAGAAGACAGCTAAAACAAGACAAAATAACTAATATTTTTCATAATTAATAATTTTAAACACGAGCTAAAATAAATTAAATAGTAATACGCATCAGCGGTTACAAAGCCTCAATTATATAAAGCTTGATTAAAAAAATCACATAAAAATCAGAAAACTACATGAGATCCTTATTTAAACCTATAGTACGGTCCATATAATTAAATGTTTGAAGATTATTTCGTGCAGATGTTGAACGTGATTGCGTCTCAAATGGTCCATCTGCTTAGTCCAATTTTGGCATACTCTTTCCAACATTTCGGCCGGTATCTCACGAATAAATGCTTCGATGTTGTCCTCCAATGGGTCAATTGAAGCGGGATTATCTGTATAGACATTAAATTTAATTCTGCTTATTAACGCACCCATTAAGCCAAAAATGAGCTTCCAAGCGCGCGATGAACTTTCTAGCACACATTTCGATAATAAAATTGAATAATTTCCAAGCGTTATTCGCTTGCAAGACGATTCATGGTTAAATTATAGACCAAACTGCAGATGTCTGACAGTGATTTAAAACACGAAACGTGCGTCAGCCGTTTAGACCAGTGTGGCCAAAAAGATTATAGCTAAAATATCACCCTTTATATATTTGATATTTGATTTAATTTAACTTCTTTCATTTTATTTTAATTCATTTTTTATTAAAATTTATTTTATTTTTTTTTTTGTTTTGTTGTCTTTTACCTCATATCATTTTATTTTTTTAATTAATTTTATTTTATTTAATATAATTTAATTTTTGTATTTTATTTTAATTTATTGTACCTTACTTTTATTTAATTTGATATAATTTATTTACATTTATATAATTATTTTTAATTTATTTGGTTTGATTTTATTATATAAGGTCAAGTAAGAAGCTCGTTCGTTTTTTGTCTAAGATATGGCGTTATGGTCCATAGTACTAGCGCTACGTGTTGCATCATGTCATACTATACGACGCTGAAAACGTGTTGATTCGTGCTAAAAGTTTGTTTTTCGATTGATTGACTCAGTACGTTGTGAGCGTTCGTCAAAGATGGAGACCAGCAAAGAGAAAATTCACTATATTTTATAATTTTTCTTCGATCAATGCAAAAAAGCAGCCAAAGTGCCTGAATAAATTCATTTAATTTATGGACCCGACATTGTAAACGAAAGTGTAGCACAAAAGTGATTTGCCAGGTTCCGTTCCGGTAATTTCGATGTCAAAGATGCACCAAAGGGGAGGCCTGTCGTCGAAAATTGCGATAAAATCATGGAAATAGTAGAAACAGACCGTCACGTGAGCAGTTATTTAATTACTGAGCAACTAAAGATAAGCCAGGAAACCGTTTGGAACCATTTGAATAACCTTGGATTCAAAAATAAGCTCGATGTTTGGGTGTCACACGAACTAAAGAAAAATAAAAGATGATGGACCGAATTTCCATCTGTGAATCGCTGCCGAAACACAACAAAACAAACTCATTTCTGAAGCAGATTGAGACTGGCGATGAAAAATGGGTCACTTCCGACAACGTCGGGGGCCAAGACCGGATTGACGGCCAATACGGTTTTGCTATGTGTTTGGTGGGATTGGCAAGGAATCATCTACTATGAGCTGCTCCCCTATGGCCTAACGCTAAATTCGGCCATCTACTGTCAACGAATGGACCGCTTTAAGGCAGCACTCATACAGAAGAGGCCTTCTTTGATCAACTGAGGCAGAATTGTGTTCCATCAGGACAACGCCAGCCCACACACGTCTTTGATGACGCGCCAGAAGCTCCAGGAGCTCGGATGGAAGGTCTTAATGCACTCACCTTGCAGTCCGGAGCTGGCACCAAGTGATTACCATCTTTTACTGTCCATGGCGAACGCGCTTAATGGTGAGAAGTTGGCCTCAAGAGAGGCCTGTGAAAATTGGCTCTCCGAGTTTTTTGCCAATAAGGAAGCAGCTTTCCACGAGAGGGGTACACTGAAAATGGCATCTCATTGGCAAAAAATTTACGAACAAAACGGCGCATATTTGAATTAAATCGGTCAAATGTGAAAAAAGTTATCTTATTTTGAAAATACAATAAAAACCGAACGAACTTTTTACTTGACATAATATTTAATATGAGTTGTTTAAGTTAATTTGGTTTTTTATTGTTTTACTTTATTTTGACTTTCTTTTACTTGATTCTGTTCTATTTAATTTAATTTTAGTTTTATATTAATTTAATATTATTTTAATTATTTTGTTTTATTTTAATTATTATTTTTAATTTCAGTTTATTTAAAATAGTTTTATTTGATTTTCTTTTTTCCTTTAATTAATTCTAGTTTATTTAGTTAAATTTATTTTTAACTTTCAATTAATTTTTTTTTAAATTAATTGATTTCATCTTATTTAGTTTATAATCATTCATTTTAATTTATATTATCTTATTTGATTTTTAATTATTTGGATTGATTTTGTTTTAATTTAGTTATTTAATTTAATTTTAAATTGTTTTATTTAACTTTGCTTCATTTTGTTTATTTCATGTCAATTTCCCTAAGCATAATTTAACTATACATAATAACAATAATTGATATTGATAATTATTTGGTTTATTAAATATTGCACGTTAGATGTAACTAACGGTAGTTAGTTGAAGCTACACTTAATAATTTACTTATATAAACTGGATAATGGTTGTTTTGTTTTTGCTCACATGTAATTTACAACCGGGTTGAAGTTGTTGCATTCATATATTTAATAACCCGCTATTGGTATGTAATGATGGTTATTGGCGTAATTCCCAAAACACTGATAAGAAGAATATTATGAAAACGCATAGAAATGCGTGCATATATACATACATGCATACATTACATAGAAACTCAAAGTGAAAGACACGGAGACATAACCGTTGTATGACACATTTGCGTTTTAGGATCGTTATTTGTGGTATGGATTCAAGTTTATTGTTTAGAACTCTATCTATCTGCAAGTAACTGTAAATGGTAAAATGTCAACAACAACAACAAATGTGAAACATCATAACATCAGCCTGCTAACATACACATTCTCTCCATACATACATATTTGCACGTATTTCCATGTATTTTTAATTGCTGTCGTAAATTAATCCCTTCTGGAAAACAACCACTACTATTGGGTTATAAAACAAAAACAAAAAAAGCAAAATAGAACAAAGTTATGAAGAATGCATTCGTCAGAAGAACAAATAAAACAAAAAATGCTTTTGATATGTGTGTGAACAATGCAAGGTGTCCGAAACAAGGTAACTAACTGGCCATACCCACGAGCAAGCCACCTTTGCACCCCAGCAACGTCAGCAAGTGGTGGAATGCGCGACTGGTTGCATACTCACGCCTACGCGTGGATCACTCATCGATGTATGTACATATATATATCTACATATATGTGATAAGCGTGCTATTGCTTTGCTTGTTTACCACACTTGTTGTCATGTTTGGCCAGATCAAAGTGAAAAAGCGCGACAATTCACACTAAGCTACGGTAGATTAGTTACGCTTATCCCCATTGTTGTTTACACTTTCAGATAATAACCTTTTATTTGTAGTAGTTTATTGAGGAGACTCTATAAGGCTGTACAAATGTAAATATGGGAAATATTTTCGCTTTGTCATTTCCACAGTAAATTTGGTTAAACTAAAAATGCAAAATGCAAATAGGTAGATATGCATATGTATATGTTACAAATTTAAATAGTTTTGTGATCACATAAAAACAATTTATGTATTTATCAGGCGTACAACTTTGCTTCCACCCTTTTCAGATAGGTGGCTGTACCGGCTGAGGCTGGTTGAAATACATAGATGATAATGCCTTTAAAGTGAGTATGGACAGTGCCTAACGAATTGTCATCGCCGTTTCGGTGACAGTTGATCTTGTTTTTGTATTATTCACGCTCGAAAATGTCCGTTTATGTGCCTAATTCTCGCTATTTGCGGGAAGTTTTACTTTTCTGTTACAATTCAAAAAAAAAAAATGGAGGTGAAGCGCATCGAATGCTCTCAGAAACTTACGGTGATGCTG